AAATAGTGGACCATTTTGATGAAACAAAACGTGTATTTAAAGAAGGTTTTATGGGTGCAAAAAGTTTCTTTAAATTTCGGCGCCGACTCATTCTCCCCAACCCAATACACTTTTTTCCATCAAAAACCACTTTTTCAGGGGTAAATTTTATGCGTAGTTTCCGAAAAACACAACGAGAGCTTAGGAAAATACGTTTCAAGCCGAGTTCAAGGGACTTCAAAGTGCGCGCTCATAAAAAGTGTGATGAGAGGGACACACATAGGGAAGAGGAGGTCTAAAAATGGTCTCTCAAAACATTTTTTGAAGCCAAAAACACTTCTTTTGGCATAATTTAACCTACTGATTACGTTTATGATCAAATTAGAGCAAAATAAAAACAAAATTTTTTCAAAATTTCGACCATGTAGTCCCCCACATGAGTCAAAATCGGTCAAAATCTCAAAAACCTCTTTTTTCAATTTCCTTTGCCTCTACCAGTCAATTTAAGTTAGAAAATGAATATTTAGTAGTTAAAAAATGATTTTGGTTCTAGTTTTGCCCTTGAAAAGTGCCCCAATAGTCGATAGTTTGGTCTCCATCTCGATAGTGAAGTACACTATAGAACCGCGCACTTTGAAGCCCCGAAACTCGGCTTAAAACCCCTTTTCCTAAGCTCTCGTTGTGTTTTTTGGAATCTACGCATAAAACTACCCCAGAAAAGGTGGGTTTTGAAGAAAAAAAAAAGTGGCTCCCCCAAAGCCCATAGTAGAGTGCAAAAGCCACCCCGCCCCCCTCCCCCCGGCCGGTGGGGGCGGGGTCAGTTTTTTTTTGCAAAAACCTAGGCATCTCGATTAGTTAACAACTTTCATTATTACGAAAAAGTTTAAAAAAGTGTGAAAAGGATTCGCCCAGGCCCCTGGGCGCTCCCCGGGGGTGGGCGGGGGACATGGCCGGGGTGGGCGGGGGAAATGGGCGGGGTGGGCGGGGGAAATGGGCGGGGTGGGCGGGGGAGATGGGATCAATTTATGTATCAACGTTCATCAACAATTCTTTTACAGCTGGGCCTCTTTCGCAAATGCAAAACGGTGTCTGACTGCCCGAGGCCTTTCACGCACTGTCGAGGAACGTTATGCTGGAGAAATCCCTTGTGAAAACAGATCTTTACTATTTAATTGCTTGTATGTGTTTTTATTTTTTGCTACCCGGACTGAATACTCTAATCTAGACTGAATACTCTAATCTAGACTGAATACTCTAATCTAGACTGAATACTCTAATCTAGACTGAATACTCTAATCTAGACTGAATACTCTAATCTAGACTGAATACTCTAATCTAGACTGAATACTCTAATCTAGACTGAATACTCTAATCTAGACTGAATACTCTAATCTAGACTGAATACTCTAATCTAGACTGAATACTCTAATCTAGACTAAACACCGTAATCTTGAACAATTGAAATTGAATTAAAAGCGACGATAAAAACAGAAACAATTTCGTCCTACAATTAACAATTTCGTTAGGACACAACTTTCACACAATGAGAGGAAAGCAGAAAGAAAATGAAAGATAACCGAACCAAATGAACAACAGTTGCCTTATATAGGCTTTAACCCCAGATACTCAGCTAACAAGCTACAAAACAATAAATGATTTGGGGCGCGAAATAAAATGAAGGCGCACCGATTTCCTCAATATTTTTCCAATTTTTAGGCTGTCAGAGTTAGATAACTTTTAGTGGCTTTTAGAGTTTTAGGCCGAACTGAAAGCCGAACTTTTAGAGTTCGGCAAACAAAACCAAAACAGACCAAAACCAAAACACCAAAACAAACCAAAACTCAATTTGCATATAAATTAACATGTAAATTTGAAATTGTAAAATGCAAATTTGCCTTTCACTTTTTCTTACTCCACAAAATCTCGCGGCCGAAAAAAGGACCAAAACACGACCTCGAAATTTCGAAACAAAAAATAGCCTATGGGATAGATTTTTGCACGCTGATTTCAAATCTGCAAACAGATTTTCGCTAGCTCCTCCCAGTCGCGAGATATTGGCGCGTTTTGGTTAGTTTTGGTTTTGGTTTTGGTTTGTTTTGGTTTTGTTTTGGTTTTGGTTTTGTTTTGGTTTTGGTTTTGGTTTTGGTTTTGGTTTTGGTTTTGGTTTTGGTTTTGGTTTTGGTTTTGGTTTTGGTTTTGGTTTTGGTTTTGGTTTTGGTTTTGGTTTTGTTTTGGTTTTGGTTTGTTTTGGTTTGTTTTGGTTTGTTTTGGTTTGTTTTGGTTTTGGTTTTGGTGGGTTCGGTTTTGTTTTGTTTTGGTTTTGTTTTGGTTTTGGTTTGTTTTGGTTTTGGTTTGGTTTGTTTTGGTTTGTTTTGGTTTGTTTTGGTTTGTTTTGGTTTGTTTTGGTTAAGTTTTGTTTTCCGAAGTCTAATAAAAACCCAACAAAAAGAAATTCGAAGCAATTAAAGCGAATGTAAATTAAGGCAGAACTTATACTCGGATGAACTTATACTCGAGACTTTAGGGTACATTAAAATGCCTGAAAAAGTTCTAAAATAAAACATTTCAAATAAAACAAATCAAAAATTCAAAAAAGCCATTTGGTAGATTAAGGATAGGGCTTTTGAATCAAGCAAACCGTTTTTTGATTGGATAAGCCGTTTTTTCAGAAAACACATTACCAAAAAACGATCGTTTATCAGTGTTTTCAATCAGTTCAGTCATCAATTTATGTATCCAACGCTCGTCAACAATTCTTTTACAGCTGGGCCTCTTTCGCAAATGCAAAACGGTGTCTGACTGCCCGAGGCCTTTCACGCACTGTCGAGGAACGTTATGCTGGAGAAATCCCTTGTGAAAACAGATCTTTACTATTTAATTGCTTGTATGTGTTTGTTAGTTTGCTAAACCAATTAAAAGTCTAGCTAAACCAATCAAAAGTCTAGCTAAACCAAATTCATTTCTTTCTGCACCTTAATGATTTTTTTTCCTTCAAAACTTTAAAGCTTTAAGTTAGATGGTGAAAAACATTTCTTCTTATTGAATAAAAACATTTTCAATCAATCTTTTCTTATCCATACAATTGCCACATAATGCTTGTTGGTGGGCTCATCTCCTGTCGAATTTCTCCCACTCAACACAAGAAAATCTTCTTCTCGATTTTGTTTCACAGAAAAATAAGCAACACCCTGAGTTGTCCATTGAAATATTTCTTCCAAGAATTCCTTCAGTTTTGAATTCACGATATTCAGTAATGTGTTTTGGTTCAAAGAATAACTCGAAGAGATTTAATAGAGAATATTTGTCCATTCTTGAAGACACGCTTCTTGGTCAAATTCTTGAAGATAATGAACAAACGGGCTTTCCTGAATTCCACTGGCTAGCATCTCAAAAATCTCCTCACTCAACATCGGCTCAAAGAGCTCAAGCTGACCGATTAGTTGGCATGATTTACGTCGATCACATATTTGGTAGTCCTTTTTCCAAATAGCTGACCAATGTCTCGAGCGAAGCAATCCTCTAAATACACGCAAACATTGGTGAGCGATTTGGCGAAAAACTGATTGGCTAAATGCCAATCAGTTTTACCAATAAAATTCTGACGACAGATGTCTTTCAGACCGTCCACCGTACACTTTGCCTTTCAGACGTTTCCGCGCCAAACGTCGGAAACTATCGTAACCCGACGCAATAAAAGGACCCCGCCGCAGAGGATTTTTCAGTCTTTCTTCGTGTTTTATTTTTTCAGTCTTTTTTTTTCCATTGAGACCAAAATGGGTTTCTTTTGAAGGAGGTGCTATTTGGCATTGTCTTTCGCTAATGCTGTCTTCCCCAAAAACTTCAATGTTCTCAAACTTTGACATATGACAATAGCCGGCAGTTTTCAATTCACCAACCCAATAAATTAAAAATAATAATTAAAAAAGTAATTAAACAAATTGTGTTTAATTTCATTTTACTTTAAATCAATTTAAAGGATTCTCTCTTGCAATAATAAAATTCTGACGACAGATGCCTTTCGGACCGTCCACCGTACTTTCAGACGTTTCCGCGCCAAACGTCGGAAACTACCGTAACCCGACGCAATAAAAGGACCCCGCCGCAGAGGATTTTTCAGTCTTTCTTCGTGTTTTATTTTTTCAGTCTTTTTTTTTCCATTGAGACCAAAATGGGTTTCTTTTGGAAAAAGTGCTCAAACTGTCACATATGACAATAGCCGGCGGTTTTCAAGTCACCAACCCAATATAAATGGACTAAACAGTGGACCTCGATCGACTATGGTGCGAAAGAATTGGAGATGAATCACAACACCGCGGCCGACTTCAACAACTACATGAAGGATCTGAATGACTGGTGAACAAGCCGAACGGAAAAATTAGAGGACCCAATCGAATCGAAGTTTGAAGTCAAAATACCTATGCGTCGGAAACAGCGGTCCTATTTTTGCCCTCGGTTTCAATTCCGCTTACATGTAAAATTTTTTGTTTTTTCCAAGAGCCAACAACTTTATCTTAGATTTTCGGGCACTGGACATGGAAAGTATTGTATCACAGCTGGTGGACCGTTTCAAGACTTGTCAACCCTACCATTCGATGGCTCTATTTAGCCTGCATCTTTTTTGGATTGAGCACTTTTGGTGTTTGCAAATTGCAAATTGGTGAAAAAAAGCGTTTTTGGTAGGAGTATTATTCTAAAATAGAATAAAGAAATTTTTGCATAAGAGACCTGTTATAAAAGTTGTAGAGTACAAGCTGGGCTAAAAAAATAAAACAAAATTTGATTGAATGCTCGCTGAGATATTCGAGCTTAAAGTTGCCATTCGCAAAAAAAATACTCGTTTCATACGCCCGCACCTAAAACACTTTGCTGCAGAAAAGAAAAAAAGGTAAGTCCCAAAATGTCCAAGTATTGATTTATTTTGATTTTTATTCTCAACTCTAACTTTGCGGATTGTTGATTGAATTGTTTGATCATTTCATTTGGTGCACGGTTTAAATTTAACGTTTATCTTTCTGTGACTAGGTGTTATCCAACTGCCAACGCGTCGTGCATTGATAGACAAACGGATAAGAGACACACTCGGTGACCCCATCGGCCGACCATTTGATGTCCTTCCAAGCACAGATCGCCTGATTGAACTTGTCACATGAGGCCCAGTTGCCGGCGTTGTTGTTCTTTAAAAAGAAAGGTATTTTCGAGGATTTGAAAGTGTGCAAAGTTGTTTCAAAAAGCCAGAGAAAGCCTGCCAGATCGTGGCAGGCTTTCGGGGTTTTTTTAAAGTTTCGTGGTCTTTTAAAAGTTTCTTGGTCTTTTTAAAGTTTCAGGGTCTTTTTAAAGCCTCGGGGTCTTTTTAATCGAAATCGAAATCGTCTGAATGTCTGTCTTGGCTGTCTTGGCTAGAAGGCCAGCTTCACAAACATTTGCGTGTCCTAGAAAACGCAAGGTGTGCCAAGCTGAGATGCTAAAATCGTTGTTCTTACGATTGTTCTTTAAATTCTGAAATGTGCATGTGGAACTGAATAAAATACGTTTAATACGTTAAAAAACAATTTCAAAAGACTTTTGGGTTCAAAACAAAAAAATTGCAAAAGACCACGAAACGAACTTTTTTTGACAAAAGACTACGATACTTTAAAAAGACCACGGAACTTTAAAAAGACCACGGAACTTTAAAAAGACCACGGAACTTTAAAAAGACCACGATACTTTAAAAAGACCACGGAACTTTAAAAAGACCCCGTAACTTTTAGAAGACCCCGTAACTTTTAGAAGACCCCGTAACTTTTAGAAGACCCCGTAACTTTTAGAAGATCCCGTAACTTTTAGAAGACCCCGTAACTTTTAGAAGACCCCGTAACTTTTAGAAGACCCCGTAACTTTTAGAAGACCCCGTAACTTTTAGAAGATCCCGTAACTTTTAGAAGACCCCGTAACTTTTAGAAGACCCCGTAACTTTTAGAAGACCCCGTAACTTTTAGAAGACCCCGGAACTTTTAGAAGACCCCGTAACTTTTAAAAGACCCCGTAACTTTTAGAAGACCCCGTAACTTTTAGAAGACCCCGTAACTTTTAGAAGACCCCGTAACTTTTAAAAGACCAGGAAACTTTTAAAAGACCCCGTAACTTTTAAAAGACCAGGAAACTTTTAAAAGACCCCGTAACTTTTAAAAGACCGCAATTCAGGGAAAGAGCCAGCTTTTTTCTAAAACTAGTGAGTAATTAAATTTAGAATCTCCAAAAACCACTCGAGTTATTTGGGCAAAACTTCTGAGTCGGAGAAGGTGAATAAAAATGGGATCAAAGTTTGAAACCAAATTTTTCTGGTTTTTAAACGAGCCCTGGCCATGTTGATCTGTAACTTTTTGCAATAATCTTGTCGGATTATAACGGGAGAGTATCAAAATACCTTGAATCGAGTGTTTCAATCAAGCTTAACGTCAAAACATTTGAGCTTAACGTCAAAAACATTCTTGGGTGCTACCAGTGGAAATTACTGGGTCTAAACGGTGTCTAAAGTGTCTAAACTAGGCACCTAAACGTTTTCCAACCTTCCAAAACACTTCGAAAGGCTTAGGCTTAGGCTTGGGCTTAGGCTTAGGCTTGGGCTTAGGCTTAGGCTTAGGCTTAGGCTTAGGCTTAGGCTTAGGCTTAGGCTTAGGCTTAGGCTCCCTCGCGAACATCCCTTAGAAGCATCATCAAAAACAAGCTCAAGCTAAAGGCCTACAAGACCAATTCACGGTGGGCACTCTGATTTTTGAAAGAACTTTTTAACAAAACTAAAACTTTTTGGGAAAGTCTCAGGTCAGAAGATTTCCCAAAAAATATTCTTGTAGCTCACCTTACAGCACGTCACCACAGCAGCCAATTTGTTTGCGCAAGCGCTGTTGCACATTGGCATGTAACGCAAGTGACGGAAACCGGATGGCTCTCCGCAAAGGGCAATGCCTAAAAAGGGGATTTGTGCCTTACAAAGAAATTATAGGGCCACAAGGCCACATTATAGGCCACAAGTTAAGCTTTATTTTGTTAACCAGTGCAGAGAGGAGGGAACTTAACTCCCTCTGGATTACGGGCGATCAAGTGCATTATGGTGCGGTGAGAAACAGAGCTAGATGCTTGGATGAATCGGATTTTCATTGGTTTCTATTAGATTGTGGTTCACAGATCAGATCTTGGCGAACTTGGCTCAGAGATCAGATCTCAACTAAGATCAGATTAAAGGACGCGAAGCTTTGAGTCAAGTAAACTTGGATTGGGGATAAAAGTTGGGGAAAATTATCCCCAACAAGAAACTTGTTTGAATGTTACTCGCCAATAGTTAACTCCCTTTGGGGTATGAGAGACCGAGTGCCTTGTGGTGCAATGGTTAGCACAGTTGACCAGTAAGCGAAAGGTTGGGGGTTCGAGTCCCAGCGGCGCAAAAGTTTTTGATCTGCCCAACTAACAAGGGAATGGTTCTGAGCTCAAAGTTCGGAATCGACTGGAAACACAGTGCATAAAATAGAATCGGCAATGGTGAACAAAACGCCGCAAAAATTAGCCGCTAATAGCCACGGAAACGCGAGGAATCTGGCATGCAAAACCAGGATCCAAAACTGATTTCTTTTCAAGGCTCTTCTTCTTAAAGCCTTTTTAACGCTTTAAGGCTCTCGCGGTTGACCTGAGCTCATGGCCTAGTGGATAAAGGTCTAGTCTGTGAAACCGGGGTCCTATTTTTGCCCTCGGGTTCAATTCCACCAATTCAATTCAATTTTTTGTTTTTTTTTGCGATTTTTGGAACTATTTCGTTTTTAAAGCAAACTAAATTTTAATAAAATAAAATTTAATAAAATTCAGAATTGTTGTCAGTTTTCTTGGCATTCCAATGGTTACGTCGATGCACAGGCCAAAAAAAATTTTGCACGTGGGCGGAATTGAACCCGAGGGCAAAAATAGGATCCCCGTTTCACAGACCTAAGCCTTCAACCACTAGGCCACGGCTCATCTGTGACGGGCAGCGAGAGAAGCCTTATAAAGGAATCAGTTTTGATTTCGATTCCCGATTTCGCATGCTTTCTGCATAGATTCCTCGCGTTTCCGTGGCTATTAGCGGCTAATTTTTGCGGCGTTTTGTTCACCATTGCCGCTTCTATTTTATGCACTGTGTTTCCAGGCGATTCCGAACTTTAAGCTCAAACCATTCCCTTGTTAGCACCAGTACGTTTGTTTCTGCGCCCTTAGGTATCAAATTAAAGTAGAGAAAATGGGTGACTTTTTGAGATATAACACATATTTTTAGCATTAACCAGCGTTTAGAAAAAAAATGATTGAAAAGTGGCAAAAAGAGCCGATTTTTCATCAACCTCAAATCAACATCTCAAAGAACGGCTCATATCTCGGCGCCCAGACATTTCTTTCTGCGCCCTTAGGTATCAAATTAAAGTAGAGAAAATGGTGATTTTTTTGAGATATAACACATATTTTTAGCATAAACCAGTGCTTAGAAAAAAATGTTTGAAAATGATGAAAAATCGACAGAAATTGGCTTTTTTTTGCCACTTTTCAATTATTTTTTTCTAAGCGCTGGTTTTGTTCACCATTGCCGATAGATCGTTCGTTTGAAAGGGAAAAGCTGAGCTACAAAAGCTGAGCTTTAAAACTTTACAATCTTACCAAAAAGTGCGAATAGAACGATGGAGAGACTCGCCGAGTTCATTGCCAAAGTCAAATGCCCTCAAATAACACGTCGAGTACAGCAAATGAGCCGATTTATAGAGAAATTTAGCATGGGGGCGGACGTGGATCACACGATGTTTTTGATTAAAATTTCCTTTGGTCAGCACTGTCAGTCGATACAATGAGTTCAAAGCAATCAACAACGTTCCACGCTTTGACTTTCACTATTTTTTTTTGATTTTTAACCAAACTCCAGTCGAGTGGGCTTGCAAAACCAAAAAAAAACTCTTTTTGATATTAATAAACACTTTCTCTCAATACAATTTTGTAATATGAAATCGACATAAAATTATTATTTATGATTGAATGTTGATCACTGAGCTTTCCATTTAAAAAAAGCTTTTTCCATTTTTTATTGATTGAATCGTATTTATCGTATTTTCTCTAATAGTAGTGCACTCTAAATTGAAAGTTTCAACTTCTAGAACCCTAGAACTTTCAGAAACGATCTAGACCCTAAATCTTTTCGTTTTTAGCTATTAAGAGCTAACTAACGACTGTTAAAAGTATTTTAGTCTATCTGCATTGAGTCAAAATGGTTTGTCTGGGTTCTGGGCACGCTGTAAGATGCGAAGTTTGCAAAGACGCAAAGTTTGCTTGTGTGTTTGTCCGTTCACATAACTCTAGTTCCAGTAGGTGTTTCGATCTGATTTTTTGAGACAATATCTACCGTATTCTCTCTAATAGTAACGCACCATAAGCCTCGCTTAAATTCCTCGAAATCTCGAGAACCGCTTATCGCGAACCGAGAACCGTGATATAAGTGAAACCACTCGGCTTTGACCCATTCGATCCATCAGTTGGCGGAGATGATCTCTTCACATCACTTTTACCGCCAACTGTTCAAAGGTTAAAACATTGTTATTATTGTCGTATTCCCTCTAATAGTAACGCACCTTAAGCCTCGCCTAAATTCCTCGAAATCTCGAGAACCGCAAGAACCTATCGATCAGAACCTATCGATGTGGGGTCGGAAAATGTAGCTGACGATGAGATCTAGTGGAGGATTAGAGTGTTGAGCTTCTGCAGCTTCTGCAGTTTCTGCAAAAGCTTCGAAACCGTAAAATAGCCACCAACTCTGCTCGCCGGGGTGCACTACTATTAGCGAAAATACGGTATTCTAATAGAAGCACATGTGCTTCTATTTTTCAACCATCGTGCTTTTCAACTGTTACATGAGAGTATACAACCTCTGCCGCAATTTCACACAAAGAAATTCGGAACAGGGATCGGGATAGATTGCTTACGAGAAAGGGAAAGTACCCCTCTTCTCTAAAAGTCCTGCACCAGACGATTGTGAATTCGGTTACCGTAATCTTCTTGATCCTGATCCTCTGAGCCTGATCATCTTCACTTTCCCAGTCCCATGTTCCTCTACCTCAAAAGCAATGTCCAAGAATGTCTAAGAATGTTCAAGAGTGTTCAAGAATGTCCAAGAGTGTCCAAGAGTGTCCAAGAATGTCCAAGAATGTTCAAAGAATGTGTCAAGAATGTCCAAGAATGTTAAAGAATGTTCAAGAATGTCCAAGAATGTTCAAAGAATGTTCAAGAATGTCCAAGAGTGTCCAAGAATGTCCAAGAATGTCCAAGAATGTTCAAGAATGTCCAAGAATGTTCAAGAATGTCCAAGAATGTTCAAGAATGTCCAAGAATGTCCAAGAATGTCCTAAAGAATGTCCAAGAATGTTCAGGAATGTCCAAGAATGTCCAAGAATGTTAAAGAATGTCCAAGAATGTTAAAGAATGTTCAAGAATGTCCAAGAATGTTCAGGAATGTCCAAGAATGTCCAAGAATGTTAAAGAATGTCCAAGAATGTTAAAGAATGTTCAAGAATGTCCAAGAATGTTCAGGAATGTCCAAGAATGTCCAAGAATGTCCAAGAATGTCCAAGAATGTCCAAGAATGTCCAAGAATGTTAAAGAATGTCCAAGAATGTTAAAGAATGTTCAAGAATGTCCAAGAATGTTCAGGAATGTCCAAGAATGTCCAAGAATGTCCAAGAATGTCCAAGAATGTTCAAGAATGTCCAAGAATGTTCAGGAATGTCCAAGAATGTTCAGGAATGTCCAAGAATGTCCAAGAATGTCCAAGAATGTCCAAGAATGTCCAAGAATGTCCAAGAATGTCCAAGAATGTCCAAGAATGTCCAAGAAATTTTCACTCCAATTTTTCACTAAGATTTTACAATTTTTGATGTAAAAAGTGTCATGTATTGCTCTTTTTTTGCTTTTCTCTGTCTTTCGCTTAATCGTTGTTGATTTGTTGGTCAATTGAATAAAGCACTTAGAAATTTGAATAACCTTTAATTTGCATAATTTGCAAGCCACAAACACTTGTGTTTTCGTCTGTAATTAGTAAAATGTATTGAAAATGTTATTTTTGATGAATTTTGATGGATTTTGATGGATTTTGATGGATTTTGATGGATAAAAGAACAAAAATGGATTCATTCTGAACGTTTCAATTGGCTAAAGCCTCAAAAATTGCTTGGATTTGAAGAAAACCATGATCATCTTTCCATTCGCCAAAAGTTAGTTGAAAATTTTCTCGCATACATCGAACGAACGAGTAGAAGTGACGATAGTTTTCACCTTCTTCGACGAATAATCTGAAATGCTGTTAACAAGATCTGTGTCTCAAGATCAAAAAAGCTTTAGCTCTGTGAAACTTTGCAAGTGAATTTGTGAAGGAATCGTATTTGTAGAGAAAAGGAACCATATTGAGAAAGAAAAGGAACCAAATTAGAAGAAACCTTTCGACGCATAGATGGGATTCAATTTGTTATCCAGAAACCCGATAACCCGGGCTTTCTTCTGATACCGAATCTTGTCTTTCGTGAAGTCGATCTAGTCTAGTAGGGAACTAAATAAGTAGACATCAAAGAAAAGAACTTCATCAAAGTTTAGAAAGAACAAAAAACAAAATCTCTTGAACAATTCACAAGAGGAAAAAGGAACCAAATTTAGAGAGATAAGGAGATAGGGAACCAAATTTAGAGATGAGGAACCAAATTTAGAGATAAGGAACCAAATTTAGAGATGGGGAACCAAATTTAGAGACGAGGAACCAAATTGAGAGAGATAAGGAGATAGGGAACCAAATTTAGAGATGAGGAACCAAATTGAGAGAGATAAGGAGATAGGGAACCAAATTTAGAGATGAGGAACTAAATTTAGAGATAGGGAACCAAATTTAGAGATAGGGAACCAAATTTAGAGATGAGGGACCAAATTTAGAGAGATAAGGAGATAGGGAACCAAATTTAGAGATAGGGAACCAAATTTAGAGATGAGGGACCAAATTTAGAGATAGGGAACCAAATTTAGAGATGAGGAACCAAATTTAGAGAGATCAAGAACCAAATTTAGAGATAAGGAATCAAATTTGTAGAGAAAAGGAAACATATTCTTACCTCAAAGAAACAGAAATCTGTTTGACTTTTGAAAATCTCGACAGTGAAAAGTTTTTTGACCAAAACGAAGCGCTCAGCTCGAGGAGAAGCAAATCGATTTCCTCATTTGACGGGAAATCCTCGAGTGAGCTGAAATTTGGAATTCATTCTAGCTAAACTAGATTCGAAAAGCTAAACTAGATGTGTTTCAACCTCAAGACTTAAATTTGTTTTCTAAATCCGGCTGGTTTTGATTTAGTGGATGTCCAATTTGTAGCAAAAATTGCCTTTTCAAAATCAAAATTTGGAAACTCGAAAAGGGAAGCTTCCTATACCGGAGCGGTTTGCCAGGTCGCCAACGATTACGCGGCCACACAAAGAACACCTTGCCAATCACTTTACACAGTGATTTCTTTTTTGTTCTGTAAAATGATTCCTAAATGAGATTTGATGTTCAAAATTTGTGCCCTGAGGTTATCTGGATCGTAGAACCTATTGGCGGTGTTTATTTTAGCCTATTTCCCAAGAAAAGTCCCAAGATAATCATTGGTTTTGGATCATATAATAATAATAACAATAATGCTGTATTTTCTCTCTAGTAGCGCACCTTAAGCCTCGCTTAAATTCCTCGAAATCTCGAGAACCGCAAGAACCTATCGATTAGAGCCTATCGATCAGAACCCATCGATGTGGGGTCGGAAAATGTAGCTGACGATGAGATCTAGTGGGGGATTAGAGTGTTGAGCTTCTGCAAAAGCTTGGAAACGGTATATGAGGGAGCAATTGCCCTGGGTCTCCGAGTTTTAGAGTCTTTGCTTTGACTGAGCGTTGTTTGAGCTGTGCACCCCTCAGCTTTCCGACAATTCCCTTAGCTTTAAAGTACCCGGGTACTTAGGAGTGCCATTCTCCTTTACCTCACAATGAAAAGGTCCGGATTTCCAAAAAGAACCATTTTCCTGAACAGAAGCTCTCTTGGGATCAATTTGGGTAATAACATAAACAAAAGAATCAAGCTGGGTAATCAAAACTAAAAGACAAATTTTGACCTTAATTTTATCCAAGAATCATAAAGATGATTAGGCTTCGAAATTGGAGCAAAAAGAGAAAACAGCGAAAAAGAACACAAGGGTGGTCAGGCCGATTTGGTCATTTTTCTCATCTAGTGATAACAGGTCAACAACTAAATCATAATATTTTATCATAGCGCTGCATTCAAGTCATTCAATTGTAAATTTGATGTTGGAAAACGGAACGGAACAGACTGCTGAAGAGGAAAGGATTCCCGATTTCATGTTGATGTCCTACCCTACCCACTGTCATTTTCTCTGAATGTTTGCAGTCATGATCAATAACCAAATCGGCCTGAAAACCCTTGTGTTCTTTTCCGCTGTTTTCTCTTTTTGCTCCAATTTCGAAGCATTTCTCTGAAAGTTTGCAGTTATGATCCAATTCTCATCTCCCATCACTAAACGCGGCAAGAAAGATTTCGCTCGTATTCCGAAGGAAGGGTAGCGGCAATTGCCCTTTCATGGAGTCACTGGGGTTGCCGGGTACCCATCGACCGTAAATCGGTTTAAAACCAATAGTACGAAGGTGCTTTTCAACTGTTACATCAGAGTATTCAACCTCTGAAGCAAAGGAATTCGAAATAGGGAGCGGGACAGATTGCTTACGAGAAAGGGAAAGTGCCCCTCTTCTCTAAACCCCCTGCGCCAGACGACGAGCGATTACGCCGACACAGAAAGTCCGCACAGAGGACACCTCTTTACAAAGGAATTTCTATTCTGTAAACTGCTCGGATGAGATATGAAGCCAAAAGTTTGTACCCAGAAGCTACCGTAATCCCTGACCACCAAAAAAACCTACAGTAACCCACCGAATATTGCGCAATTTCGATTGCCGACTCACGAATTGCGGAAAATCGATGATAGTCAATGGAGAACTTCTAAAATGTCTCATTTTAAGGTTTTACAAAATTTCTTCTCACCCAATGTGCACAATTGACAGCTTTACTTCAGAAATGTTCCCACAAAAAGAAAAACGGCGATCATTTGTGAAATAAAGAGCGCATTTTGGGATTGGCTGATTGAGGGACAACATTAGACGATTTTTCTCCTCAATTGGTGAACCTGGAAGATGGAAAATGCCCATTTTAGAGTCAGATTTGCTTTGAATACATAGGAAACTGAAATTGAACACTTCAGTTACTTATCGATGATATAATTTTGTCACAAACCGAGCCCGAAAACCGGTATCCCCACATCGGAGCAATGGCGCTCGAAATGGTGAAAAGACAAGGAGTAACGACAGAATTTGCTTGGCTCCTGGCAGAAGCCGCTGGAATTTTTCTCTCTTCTTTAATTCTACATACAACTATCGAATTCCTGGCTTGGATTGGCTATTGGCTTAATTTGGCCTGACTAGGCGTGGCTAGGCATGGCTTGAGCTCACTTTGATCGACTTTAATCTTGGCTCTGGCTCTCTGGCAGGCTCCCTGGCAGGCTCCCTGGCAGGCTTGGCCTAGTTAAACTTGACCTTGGCTTCGCTTGGCTTGCTTAAACTGGCTTGATTTGACATGACAATGAGTTGGCTTATCATTGCCGTGGTTAGGCTTAGCATTAGCTTGGCTTAGCTTGCCCTAGCTTGGCTTATGATTAGCTTGGCTTAGATTGGCTTATCATTAGCTTGCACTAGCTTGGCTTATCATTAGCTTGGCTTATCATTAACTTGTCCTAGCTTTAGCTTGGCTTAGCTTGGTCTTGCCTTGGCCTAGCCTTGGCCTAGCCTGCCTGGCCTGCCTGGCTAGCTCTGGTTAGTCTTAGGCTAGCTGATGAACTTACCTTTCCATATATGATATACAATTCATATTCACCTAGTCGATGCTCCGATTAACGCCAAATTTTTTCGTAAAAGTTCCCCAAAACCCAATCATAATACTCATTCACCACTCCAATGCCAGACTTTGGTAAGCGAAAATTCACATAAAGAGAACGAGTTGAGAGTAACTGAAAAAGTAAAAGGGTATGTTTTTATAGAAAAAAAAACGAACACTGGTTATTTTGGTGAATGTTTTCGGAAGCGTTTCCGAATTGAGCTTTCTATTTCCTTTTGGTGAGTCCAAATTGAGTAAAGTTGCTGAAAAATTGGTTCCAATCAAGGGATTCTCGATTTCCGAGAGATCCCAACTCGTCCATTCATCGAATTTCATCAAATAGTTCACCTCGATTTCACCTGAGAATTTGACAAAGAGCTGATGAAAAGCTTTAGCTGATCAAGCTGATCAAGCTGATCAATCAGAACCAGAACCCAAATGATCCAGAACCCAGAACCCAGAACCCAAATGAACCAGAACTCAGAACCCAAATGATCCAGAACCCTGAACCCAAATAAACCAGAACACCAGAACCCAAATGAACCAGAACCCAGAACCCAGAACCCAAATGATCCAGAACCAGAACCCAAATGATCCAGAACCAGAACCCAAATGATCCAGAACCCAGAACCCAAATGATCCAGAACCCAGAACCCAAATGTCAATGCTAACAATGAGGCTGACTCCGAGAATCTGGCTCTGATCTGGCTAAACTTGAGTTTTCTTAGTTTCTAGACATTTCTAGCCATTTCTAGACATTTCTAGCCTTTCAGTACTGTAGATTTCAAGCCTGATCTTTAGAAATGTTTGAATTAAGCTTTCTAGAACCAAGCCAGGATAGCTACACTACTGGACAATGAAATATCATATTTGAAAAAAGATCGCCACTTTCGCGCGTCTGTAACTCCCTTGTCTTTACCGTATTTGTAAATATTAATATTACCATTGTGTAGCCCTTGAAAAGAGCTTTCAGAAAATGTATAACATTAATAGTTTAAACTCAAAGACAAGGGAGTTACAGACGCGCGAAAGTGGGCCAGGGCCCCCCACTCTGGGGCCCTGGTCTGGCCCGGATCGGGTTTAGATCGTTTTTCAAGTATGATATTTCATTGTCCAGTACTGTAGATAAGTTTTATGATCAAAATAATAGTAAAAGGGATTTCTTGGCTTACCTACAAGTCTTAGGAATTGATTAGAAATCCCCAATCAAACCAAATCAAACCAAATCAAGCCAAACCAAATCCCCAATCACAAACCTCTCATCCCATCAACAATATCGCTTCCGAATGGCACAAAAATCACCCATTTTAAGCAATTTAGATAATTGATAAAGCTCCCAAAAGTATTTGATGAAGAAATAAGTAGACATAGACTGAAGATTTTCATATGATATACTTTAAGCGCTTGTAAAAAACTCATTTCTCTGCGCGGGGCATGGATGAAAGGTGAGCCCGTGGCTGGCTTTCTGTGCATCGGCTCGCGTGCATTTCGAGGTTGGTGAGGCTAAAGTTGAGGGGTACGCATGAACTCACGTAGATGCGTGAGTACGGTCATTTTTGAGCTGTACTTTGTGCTTGATTTCCTAGCCACGCTCTTTCTATACACTCTGGGGCCCTGGCCTGGCCCGGATCGGGTTTAGAAACGGGCCAGGCCTAAACAAGTTTGGCTTAGGCCAGGCTAGATCCGGTTTAAGCCATGCTTAGTAAAAACCAAGCCAGAGCCAGGACAGGTTTGGACCTAGCCTGGTCCGGACCTAGCCAGGGCCAGGACAGGTTTGGACCTAGCCAGAGCAAGAACAGGTTTGGACCACGCCTGGTCCGGACCTAGCCAGGGTCAGAACAGGTTTGGACGAAGCCTGGTCCGGACCTAGCCAGGACCAGGACCTAGCCAGGGTCAGGACAGGTTTGGACCAAGCCTAGTCCGGACTTAGCCAGGACCAGGACCTAACCAGGACCAGGACCTAGCCAGGACCAGGACCTAGCCAGGACCAGGACCTAGCCAGGGTCAGGACAGGTTTGGACCAAGCCTGGTCCGGACTTAGCCAGGGCCAGGACAGGTTCGGACCAAGCCTGGTTGGGGCCTAGCCAGGGCCAGCCTCGAACCAAGTTAGATCCAAGTTATCGTTTGGCAAGAGCACAAAGCGAATTGAACTCAAGCTGGACTTGTAACTAAAATATCTGTTGGTCCTTTTTTGCGGTTGGCAATTTAAGGTTTTTCCTGTTTTTCTCAGCAAAAACCCTTCGATTTTTAATCTTTTGACTACCATTCGATGCAGAATAAAATCGCGCGTTGAAAGGTACCGAAATCTTAGCCCTTTGCCTCATAACTTTACATGGATATTATATTTTGAGTTGATTTTGTTATGATTCGATGCGCAATTTTATTCTGCATCGAATGATAGTTAAAATAGTTAAAATCGAAGGTTTTGTGCTAAGAAAAAAAACCTTAAATTTGGATCGCCAGTGCTCCCCAGTGCCCCCAGTGATCCCCATTTAAGAAAAACCTTAAATTGCTAACGGCAAAAGAGGACCGAGAGAGGTTTTCGTTTGAAAGTCTACTACAAACGCTTCTAATTTGCTTTAAATCTACTGGATTGTGATGATCTATAGCTCAAAAGATAGAGAATCTCAAGAGCTTTCGAATGAGCTAAAGCCCACTGAAAAACATCATTGCTAAAGAAAGGTATAGTGGTTTGAAGTCTGACGGTACGGTCTGACGGTAATCTGGCGAGTACGGTCCATCATATCATATACCCATATATTAGAGAGCATAAAGAAGTAACCTTAAATTGCTAACGGAACCAATAGATCTTTTCATTTGCCTAATTCAAGCCATCAACAATATCGCTCCCCGCGCCAACAATATCAACAATATTGCTCCCCGCGATCGTTTTCTTGTCGAATTAATCGATTAAAGTTGAACGATTAAAGTTGAACGATTTTTAAGCGATTAATCGTCAATTAAAGAGAAAATTTGAGGAAAACGACGGCTGAATTTAATTTTGCCCACATGGATCGCTTACGCCTATTTTGCCCACATGGATTGCCTACGCCTATTTTGCCCACATGGATTGCCTACGCCTATTTTGCCCACATGGATCGCTTACGCCTATTTTGCCCACATGGATTGCCTACGCCTATTTTGCCCACGTGGATCGCCTAAGCCTATTTTGCCCACATGGATCGCCTACGCCTATTTTGCCTACTCCCCAGTGACACAAAAATCACCCGAGCAATTTCAATTTCAATTCAATAATGTTTTTTTTGATCAATGATCAATAAAAATCGAATCCGAACAGGCTATTAATTAGCTGAATATTTTAGAAACCTAGCAATTCATTGAGTCGTGTCCTTGCCGAAGCCTCATCCAGAAAAAGCGGCGGTTTTTCGATATTCACTTGGGTCCAATTGAGAAAAAGTGTCGCATTTTCTTGTTTATGGAGTCTAAATCAAAGTGAGCATTCAAATAATTGCTAATCTGTAATTGCTAATCAAATAATCTGTTGTAGAATCTGATTTGCACCGTAAAATTCACCTCTCAAAAGCCGACGAATAAAAATGGTAGACTCGGAGCAGAAAAATGCCGAAAATGACGAAAAAAAGGCAACGAAGAAAGCAGAGACTGTTACAGAAATAGAAATACATTCAATGGAAATCAGGTTGAATATCTATTAGTTGAATATCTAAGATTTATGGCATTGAGGTTGAGATTGAGTGAACACAAGTAATCAATAGCCGTCACCGGCTCTCTTTTGGGGTTTTTCCCCCATTCACCTTGAATGACCTTCTTCTCTTTATGCAACCAATCTCTAAGAAAACATTAAAGTTCGGAGTAAAGTGTGTTCCTCGTATACGTTTGGAGTGGCCCCCCGCCGGTGACATCCCCCTTGATCCGAAAAGTGCCCCCCCCCCAGTGCTGCCCAGTGCCCCCCAGTGCCCCCCGCTGCCCCCAGTGCCCCCACTGCCCCCAGTGCTCCCCAGTGCCCCCCAGTGCCCCCCAGTGCCCCCCAGTGCCCCCCAGTGTCTCTTTGTGCCCCCAGTGCTCCCAGTGCTCCCAGTGCTCCCCAGTGTCTCTTTGTGCCCCCCAGTGCTCCCCAGTGCCCCCCCAGTGCTCCCCAGTGCCCCCCAGTGCTCCCAGTGCCCCCAGTGCCCCCCAGTGCCCCCCAGTGCTCCCCAGTTCCCCCCAGTGCCCCCAGTGCTCCCCAGTTCCCCCCAGTGCTCCCAGTGCTCCCCTATGCTCCCCCCTGCCTCTTTGTGCGTCTGTGGTCTGTGTAATCGGTCGGCGTCTGGCGCAGGGCTTTTAGAGAAGAGAGGCACTTTCCCCTTTTCAGGACTTCACTTTCCCCTTTTCCTTAAGCACTTCACTTTCCCATTTTCCTTCCCGAACCCTATTTCGAATTTCTTTGCGTGAAATTGCGGCTGAGGTTGGATACTCTCATTTTGAAAAGCACCTCCCTACTATGGGTTTTAACGGAATTTTCAGAATTTACGGTCAATGGGTACCGCAGAACCTCAGTGACCCCATGAAAGGACGGAGGTCATCAGTTGCCGCTGCCCATCTTTCCAGATACGAGAGGAAATCTTTCTTGCCGCGTGTAGTGACGGGAGATGAAAAGTGTATTATGACGGCAAACTTTCAGAGAAAACGACAATGGGTGGGACCTGGAGTTACACCAGCAAAGTGAAGAAGCTCAGCTCCAGAAGAAGTACATGCTATCGGTTTGGTGAGATCTCTTAGGTGTCATTCATTGGGAGCTTCTCGACAATAAGCAGACAATGGCCTACTATACAGCGACCAGCTGAAAAAAAGTCGATGAGGAAATTAAGGAAAAGCGCTCCAATTTGAAAAAGGTCATTCTCCAAATTGATCGTTGAAAAAGGTCATTCTCCACGCCAGTTGATCCGCATATTCTCTTGCATGCGGCAAAGTTGATCCGCTGCAAAATCCACAGCCTGGGCTGAGAAGTTTTACCTCATCCACCCTTCTCTTGACCTCAGTCCTACAGATTATCATCTTTTCCAATCAACATTCCCTGGATGGAAAGCATTTTCAAAACGAAGACGACCTCAAAAACTGGCTCCAAGACTATTTTGACTCAAAACCAAACATTTTCTATCAAATGGGAATCCGCCAATTGCCAAAAATGGCCAAAAATTGCCAGAAATTGCCAAAAATTGCAAAAAATTGCCAAAATTTGCCAAAAATTGCCTAGAATTGCCAAAACTGAGTGAAAATCATCGCAAATAATGGAGACTATTTCGATTAAACTGCTCTTTTGGTTCTCAATCAATATTGTTTTGAATTTGGGGTCAATACGTAATTTAAAACCCAATATCCCAACTGTCCCTCTCCATTTGAAGCTCACTTTGTTTAGCTCACAAAAGAAAAAGCATTCCATTCTAACGGGTACAGAAGAGATGAAACCCTACAAAAATTTGAGCTCACCGAGAGGAGGGGGAAACCTTTCAATTCCTTTTTTCATTCCGAGACAACATCTCAAATACATCCAGAATTACGTTTTTACCAATTTGGGCTATACATTTTTGTCTTTCAAAACATTGACAATTTTATTCTTGAACTCTTGTGCAGCGATCAATTTCTTAATGCACATCCGCCAAACGTAATCGCCAACAGAATTTTGCACTCGATGCAGAGAATTCTGCTGATTCCGAATCTAAAAGAGATTTTGAAGTCCGTCTTACAGATTTTTTAAAGTACGTCTTACAGACAAAAATTCTTACATTTCTTACATTCTTCTTAGATTTCTTAGAGTTAGTCTAGAGAAAAATCTTTCTTAGAGAAAAATCGTCATTTACAATGGAAACCGCTAAAATTGGCTCCTCAAAAGCCGAATTCTTGATGCCATAAGCAAATTTCTTAATTCCATTGGGTTGATGAATTGAAAACTGCCGGACTTTGAACTAAAATTTATTCAACATAAAACCATAAATTCATTCCAAATAATTTCCATTATTATTGACGACTTCTGCCCATTTTACAGGCAATTTGCGGATTCCTCTTTCGTAGTAGGATTTTGGTTTGTGTGTGAGACAACTGTGAGACTCAAAAATGGAGGACTGGAGACTCAAAAATGGAGGAATGTCCCAGTTTGAGCACTTTCTTCAAAAGAAACTCATTTTGGTGTCAATAGAAAAGTTGTAGGCTTATAGCCAAATTTCCAAAAAGATACACTTAGTAGTTTCGCTTAAAATGCAAGTTTTGTGAAAATTCGCAAATTTGGCATTTCTTGAAAAGCGGTTTTT